ATGCATGCCCATGACTGTTCCCTTGTAAAGCCTACTGAGACTCCATCAAGGTGTGCTCTTTTATAAGCAATACACTGGGTTTTGTTTCATCAACAGGCTATTCTAGCCTTTGGGGGAGTCGGCAGTCAACCGAAGGAAAAGACCCTATTTCTTTTCAGCTGCTCTCTTATCAGCTGTTTTTTTAATCTCTTCTTCTCTCATGCTCACACTAGACCACAGGTGAAATTAAATACACCAGGAAATGGGATCATTATAGAAAAAGATAAACATGAGCCAGCAAATGAAAGGGGGCTGAGTGAATCTAATAATAAATTCAATATAAGACTTCAAACTATATTTCATTATAGCCTCCGTTTAACACTAAGCTGACATGGGCTAATTTACACATTTCAAATTGGTCTTAAAGTGTCCCTAAAATTGAGGTTTAGAAATAAAAGAAGAAAATAGCCTCAAAATGCACAAGTTTAAAGTATTCTGCCATCTGATTAAATTTTACAAAAATTTCTTTTACTTTAATTCTGTTATATATTAAATATGAATACATGAAATATAGTTAATCTTTAAAGAATAACTGACTAGAAATGATTTCAACCTGTGTAGTCATTTTGACATCACACCTTTCATTTATATAATCATTTTTAGTAGATTTATTATGTTTATCTATGCAATTATTAAGATATATAACTAGTATTTATTCTAGTCCTATTTTATTTTTTTCATACGTTACATTTTTCTTTAGAAAAAAATTAAATCACATAAAGATCAAACTGAATATATTAAGATGCCAAAGATAAGCATTTTATAAGTTTGAGGTCTTTAAACAAGAACTAGTCTCATCACATTAGAATGTGTGTGTGTGTGTGTGTCCATACCCAGGTAAGGAAAATGAGTGTGACATAAAACCCCGATTTTCCTTCATAGACTGTCAACAGCAGCCATTTCACATATGACTCTTTCTTCCTGTGGGAGTGTTACCAACCGCACCATGCTTCTGCCGTCATGACTACGGAGCAACGTGTGCGGAGGAAAGAAAACGCAGGCGACAAGAGACCAGGGTTTGCAGCCTGGCTTCCCTACTCTAAACTGGGGGAAATGACTTCCTCTCCTAGAGCCTCAGCTTGTTGATCTGGAAAAGAATGAGAGCTCCACCTACTTGACAGAACTGCTGAGAAGATGAAGGGAGACAACGGGTAGGTACTCAGTCTGCTCCCTGGCACACAGTGGCCAATTCTCCGTAAAGGTTTGTTACCCATGATGCATGCTGTTTCCCTGTAATTATGGTCCTAAGGACCTATAAGATATTAAAGTGCTTCCTAAATAAGTAAAGAAGTATTAATTTTGCAACAAGATCTTTAAGGCGCATATCCTTTCAACTAATAATTCTACTACTAGGAAACTAGTTAGAAAAAATGATTAGAGATAGTGTCAAATGTTTACATAAAGATACTCTTCAAAGCTTTATTTTTTACCATAAAAAAACTAGAAACAATCTAAGTGCCTAAATATTATGCTACATCTATATGGTTGCATAGTGTACAACTATTAAAATATTCATGAAGAATTAAGAACATCCAAAAAAGCTCCCAAAATTCAATTAAAACCACAGCCTATAGATTTCAACCATATTAGCAATTATATTCATGTGTGTCTGTTAAACACACACATACATATGCAGAATAAAATGATTTGGAGGAAATATCAACAATCACTACCCAGGGATAATGGGAAAACAGATAACTTGTATTTTTAATTTTTTTTGTTATTTTACTGAATACCTGAATTACTTTAATACTTATAAAAAAATTCAATCCATTCAATTATGTTTTTCTAGATTTTTAGGGATGATTTATAAAATTTATAATTATTTAGTATATTCTAGATTTTTAGGGATGATTTATAAAATTTTACCCCATCTCATTTCCAAAAGGATTTGGTGTAACTGACAAAAATATATACAACAGACTAAAATAGATGAAGAAAAGTGAATACAAAAACCTTGCAAACTTGCAGTATACATCCATACATACACATCTATCTAGCTGTCACTCACTCACACACTCACACACACACACACACACACACACACTATCATTTATATTTATATATATATATATATATATATATATATGTATGTATGTATATATTAGTCAAAAAAATTTTGTTTCAGACACCGAGAACTGAAGGAAGTTTCTCCATCTTTCTCAGAAAGGGCATACTGCAGCTATGGTAAACACTGGTTGAAATTGTGTATTAGGAATGCTACTTAAACGGATTAAGTGAACCACGGTTCTATGGTCGGGAGGAGGAGAGGCAGATTAAAAGGATTCAGGACCTGTAACAGGATGAGCGTGACCGTGGTCAGCAAGCAACCCAAGGACCACATTTTAAAAACGCACAGACACGAAGATAAAGATAAACACAGAGTTAGATTTTCCCATCACTTTTTGCCCCCTTTATTCATGTGCTTTCAAAGAAAAAAATAAATGAAATATTAAAATTAAACTTTAATTTCTACACAAAAAATACATCAAGAAAACAGACATCAACAAAACAAGCTCCTATAACAAAATGTCCTGGATGTGCTCTATTCAACATGGCACTTACCTTCACTGATGGCATGGGGCTTAATGATGCAACAGGTGCAATCGGTGAACTTAGCAGTGTTCGCTGGTCCACAAACTCCACTAGAAGGAAAAAATAACTCCATTTCCTAAAAACAGAGGGAAATGACTTTGGCATCAATAATCTCTTATCCTGAACTCCTAGGATATTTATGTGAGAGGGGGAGAACTACGNGTGACAGGATGCAGACACACTGTGTACAAATCCCAACCCCACCAGTTCAGGGCTGTGGGACTTTGGACAAGAGTGTTAGCATCTCACTGCCTAGGTTCCCTCCTCCGGGATACGGGTTTCAAATAATACCAACCCTCAAAGCTTTGAGAATTAAATAATTCATGTAAAGTACTCAGCACTCCATAAATATGAACTGCAGTTAGTAATAAAACCGTTCCTATTGTTCTGTACTTAAGGAAAGTCCTTTCTAACAGTCTCATTAACAGAGTTTGAGACCTTCTTCCCCTCTGCCCTCAGTCAAGTCCTTACAGCTGGTAATCCTAGGAACTCCCATTTTCCTCTGAAGGTTATTAGATGTTGGAACATATTAGCCAACAAAATTTCACTATTTCTAAATGAAATTCTCTTAATAGCTTCACACACACCTACTTGTTCCAGATCATTAAGTGTAATTCTACCCGAAGATTGGAGTTCTTTTGTGGGGTCGAGCAGAACTGTTGACATTCCTCATAAATCAATAAAGCACTAATGTCCTTGAAAGTTCCCATAACTTACAAATTCACTGTGTATTTTCACTGCCTATAAACTGTGTTTCCAAAATGCACGTGAAGCTCTGCGCGTTCAAAGTCGGGCTCTTACGTGTAGTTCGATGCACTTGTGCATCTGTTGTAAATTCCCTTCCTGTTTACTATTTCAGATAGAACACAAAACCACCGCACAACTCCAAAACTGGGACATTCTAAGCAAAACTGAGCCTACTCCAAGAAGGTCTGTTGAAACTGAGTTACATTTACTATGTTTAAATCCAACCTCTTTATACCAAAAAAGTTCATGCCTCTTCCACACTGTCCCAGAAGCTGAATTACTTGAAGGGAATCTACTATGAAAAAGCT